CTTAAATATATTTTAATTCATTATTCCATTTCATCATTAATCCCTCAATCGTTCCATCTTTCTAACTTAATTTTACTCCTACACCCTCTTCTGTTTACATTACCAATTTATTACCCCCTCACTATTATTATTTCCATTATTAATTTATTGACAATTTACATTAAGCTCTTATTGATATCCCATAATACATTGAATCATTATCTGGGATAAGCTTCCCATCCTGTTAACCTAGCAGCTCACACATGGAACAAAGACATAACCTTATACATTATACAAAATTATGTATTGAACATCCAGGTCGTTTTTCCATCTATTCCTATCTTGGGTATATACCATTCCTCCTCCCCTTCTCAATATCTTATTCTTTCTTTTATACATCAAGATTCTACTTTCCCACTTCAGCCTCTCCACATGCCTTCGGTTTTTGTGTCGTCTTGGCTTCCCCGCTTTTCCCCTGCTATTGATCAACCATTCCATTTTCCTTCTATTGCTTTTCTCTTTAAATTTTCAGGCCCTTCTTTTCTTTCTCATAATCCTCCTTACTCTTTCTCTTTCATTACTGTTTCGTCTCTTATTATAGTTGGGTTGTTGTTGTTCAGTCGCACAGTCGAGTCCGACTCTTCGCGACCCCATGGATCATCTCCCGCCAGGCCCTCCTGTCTTCCGCCGTCCTCTGAAGCTGGCTCAATTTCATGTTCGTTTATAGTTGGGTAGTCCTTCTTTAACGCATATCAGTTCTTTTCCCTTTAAATTCTTTCCAGTTCTTTCACTTAATACACATTCCTTCTCTTGCATAGGCTCCAGCTCTTTTTTTTGAACGACAACACCCTTCTCCTTTTGCCGCTCCTCTGAAATCTTCCGCAAATTGGGCCATTCTGTTTCCTCCATCTTTCCAAACCCTCTCTGCACATTCTCCAATTTTTCCACTATCTTCTCGCAAGCCTCTTTGCATTCTTTTTGAATCGTCTCCCTCAAAATGGTAAAAAATTGTTCAATAGTTAGCTCAGCCACCTCGTTATTTTCATCCAGTTCCTGCTCCACTTCCGTCTTTTCCGCAATAACCAACAAGTTCTCCATAACCTTCTACTTAGACTTCCAGTAAATTGTTCCCTGTATTCCGTACATCTTTCCACCAACCACTTTTCTCTCTCTTTGATTTTAATCCGTCTTTGCCAATATTTCAGGTCCATCAAACAACAAACACACCAGTCATTGTACTTTCCTTCCCCACCTCAAGCCGCGATACAAAACTTAAGTCCCAAACTTCTCCCGGCCACTTCCACTTTCATGCTTGAACGTTTCTTTCTTTGGGGATTTTTCTTAAGACTCCATCAAAAAAGATTACTCACTCTTTCAGTTTTCTTCTGTATTGCCGTTGTGGTAATTTCCTTGTTGTAGCTTCCCTTTAGTTAAAAGTCCGGACTTCCGATCTAGTTCCAACATGGGCGCGGCCATTTTCTTTCCCCTCGAACGGTCTTGTATCGGGGCTGTTTCTGGACCCCCCCCCCCCCACTTTGCCGAGTGCGGGAGGGGCCAAAAAAGACGCCCCTTACGCCAGCCCTCACTCCGAGAGGGCTGGCCGAGCTCTCCCGGCAACCGGGAGGCTCAGAAAGGTCTGTAAGAGAGTCGGGCGGGATGGAGAGAAGCCGCACTGCGCCGCGTCGGCGCAGATCCCCACCTATTTTATCTTTTACTAATGTGTACTTCATCTATATATATATATAAAAAGTCCCCTCACCGTAAAATCAATGCCCAGGCCAAACCCCTGGACCTAGAAACACAAAAGAGCACTCCTACCATGACGTAGATGCTCACTAAGAAGAGATTTTTAGAAATTGGACCTCTAAGTGGGTCAAAAGGGGTAAAATGTGCTCCCTCCATTGCTTCCTATGTAGCTCCCAGGCTGCTGCCTCCTTGCACTCCCCACCCTCTGATTGCTCAGCTGCAGAGCTCAGTGTTCTGAGGTAAAAAAAAACCAGTTACAGGAGACTCCAGAAAGCTAGTGATAGTTGAGGAAATCAGGAATACCCACCTGTGAGGTGCTGTAATGCTGCTTGCCCAGTCTCCCTGATGGCTTCAAACACCACACCACCTCCTACACCTGTCAGGTGGTTGTCTGTCAGGTGCAACAGCGGTTGCAGGGTGCTTAAAGCCACCAGGGAGCCTGCCCCAACAGGAACGTCTTAGCGATCCTGCCAGCCCAGCCTCGACAGTGGCTTCTAATACTCCTCATGTAAGTGTGATGCTTACAG